AGTGCCAACTTTCTTCCATTCATTTACTACAGGGGCGTCCCTCGCTAGGCAGGCTCCTTGCGTTGGTTCCTAGGCAACTTTAATAATATTGCTGCACGTGTGTGACATTGATTGCCTTTGGGGCTTTTTTTGTGTTGTAAGTGAACACAGGCTAGTCCGTTTTCCTTTCCTTTGTGTTCTGCTAAAGTCTCTGAGAGTTTTGAAGGGCGCATCTGTGATACTCACAGCTGAGCTATTCAGAAATACTTGCAGACAAGCACATGTGCATAGCATGGGATGGTGATCATGCTGGAATCCCTAGGCAAGACTTACCTCAACTACTGTGGTTCACTTGTTGGGGATTTTTAACAGCCAGGTTAGAGGTGGCTTAGTATTTTGGATGCTTGGTGAATACATACCATCATCTAAAAAAACCATAATGAACAACCCTGGTTTATCTTGGTTTTACTCTGCATGGAGAAAAAGAAAAAGAACTGAAGAGTTCTAGTCAATGAAAGGTTCAGCCCTAAACCAAATTCTTACTGAAATTCCTTTCAAAGGATTGCTTGAGCAAATGTGTGCAAGGCCTGGCACAGAGGAAGTGGGGTTTTTAGATGAAAAAATGTATAAAATTACAAGAGAAAAGTTGGTGGGTGAATATGATGCTGCAGTGAGACAGGGGAGCTCTTTGCCCTTCTCAACTCTTCTAAGAGCTCCTGGTTGACCTTGAGCAAGTCAGTTCACCTCTTGTTTCCCATTTGTGAGGTGGGAATGGCAGTATATCTGTCATCCACCGTTTGTTCATTTCAGGTACAAACAGCATAACCAAGAGGTGCTTTGATTCCCCACTTGGTGTTTGGAAGCTGAACAGATACAATCCATGTACATAGTATTGAAGCTGTCCTAATAAACCTTGCTACTCACGCTGGTAAGTCTGTTGATCTGTAAGGTTCCTAGGAAACAAATAAAACTGTCATTCAGAGGATATCCTGGGTCACCAGTTGATCATCCCTGATTTATTTTGTCTGCTTAAGGTAGGTCTTTGAGGCCTCTTTTTGTTGCATCCTCCTCTTTGGACACTTGATCTTACCCATGGGCACCTAAATGGGTGGTGCGGTACAGAGGAGAAATATGAGTTTAACCAATTGGTTGTGTAGAATCTAGAATTACTTGAGCCATAAGCCTGTGAAATACATGTGGGAAGCATGAGAAGGATTTGTTAGAATGTTCAAGTTACCAAATTTTGATATGTATATGTTTCAAATGCCCAGACTTAATGGCAGATACTAACATTGGTATTTTCCCCAGCATACAAGGAATGATTTTATGCTTTTAATGTAGAAAGGCTTTTCTTTTGTAACTAGTAATGATAGCATTATAATGCCTGTCTGGCTGTGGAGAGCTTTTCCTTGCCTTTTCTCTCTTAACACTTTTCAATGCAACAGAAATTATTTAGAGGATTGAATAATTCTCTGCATTTTTCTTACTCTAGTGTTCAAACAAGTAAAACATCCTTAAAACATGAAACACCCCCTATAGTCTCAACAGAAATTGAGTTGGTCAGGAAAAAGAAAAAATAAAACCAGAGAAAACACTGAAACAGAGGGGAAGCTATTTCAGATGCCTTCTTAGAAGACTGAAAGTCTGTAGGAAAACAACATGCGATGTTCACCAATTCTTCAAATAATGTTTGAAAAATAGCAAGATGCAGTTAATGTGCAGTATCGCAATATCATTTGTTATAGAAGGAAACATGAAAGGCCTGAATAGCTATGGGCTCATCAGCTTATTATCAGTGGTGTATAGTAGTCTCACAAAAGATGCAGGGACTTTTTGGCCTCTAGCCAAAAAAGAAATCAAGACTCAGAAATAGTACCTGAACTGTGAATTACCTATGACAACAACAGGAGTTAAGGGAAAGACAACTAAGTGTAGCAAACTATTACATGAGCCTTTTGTAGAGTACAAAATGTACTTTTTCTCCAGAGAAATAAAAGCATTGTGGAATACTGAGGCTTGAAAACAACCATAAAGAAAAACTATGACACTAACATATGGAGATAAAATTAGATGTCAGTGTTAAATATGAAGCAATCTGTTTGTAATATTCTAAGGAGTATCATTTTGGTGGGATTTTTGGTATCACTGGAAAATTTCTTACAGTGAGATTAAGAATGGTCAACCTGTTGACATTTCTGGGGTCAGTTAAGACTGTATTTGACATGATAAAAAGCAAAGCTGTAGATGACTTGGGGTAGTATAGCTCCATCACTTTAATGGAGGGAGTAATTTACCATTAGCACAAAAGCAGAGCAAGGTTAGCACTGCTCTGCCGCCCTGGTGACTGAGTTGCTTTAGCAGTGAGGGGATACAAGCGTGTAGTGAAGGCTGATCCCGGTATCCTCTCTACCTGTCCCTATGGAGTGCAAGAGGCAGCTTTGTTCTCCAATTCAGAGCACCGCTCTTCCAGGCTGCTGCTTTTTTGTCGTCTGCATCCTGCGGTTGGGGCTGGGAGTATGTCAGCCTTCGCTGGAGAAAGCAGAAAACAGGTCTTCAGAGCAGCAGTCAGGGGTGGGGACACCAGAATGGACTGATGATGGTCATGATGGCTGCCAGTGCAGTGGACTGTGAGATCCCGGGCTTTGCACTGCCTCTGATTAGTGCTTGCTAGTGGGGGTCCTGGTCAGAGCTTCAGCTATCACACCAGCTCTAATATATAACAGTGCAGACATTTCTTCTCTCTCGTTTGGTTCTGAGTGATGTGAGAGAACTTCGTTAATTTTTTTCCACTGAGCTTATTTCTGAAAAATGAATTAATATTAATTTAAACACCATCAATCTTAGTTTTCTCTACTGATGGCCTTTGACTGGCAGATCAGGGGTGTCTCCTCTCTCATCCTGCTCCATCCATTTCAGCAGCAATTTCTGATAAGTTTTGTCACCTCCATGTGTACTGTGGAGAAATATTGAGGGAGCATAGGGAGTGGCAATGTGAGAGCACAAAATTATACTCCTCATCAATCATTACCCTCTAGCAACTTCCAGGGAACTGCAAATTGCTGACTAACAAGGGAGAGTTAGCTTGATAAAATCACCATTAGTGTCAGTTCAGAATGACGTAAAGTTTTAAAGACACTGCTGTCCTCTCTGTCTCTCCCTGATCCATTAGTGTGTCTGTTCATGGAGATCCCAATCCAGCAAAGCACGTAAGCACATGCTTAATTGTAGGTAGATCAGTAATTCCAAGGAAATCACTGGGATATGAGTCCTAAGCATGTGTTTATGTGCTTCACTGGATCAGGGCCGTAACACATACTCTCTGAGGAAAAAAAAATGATAAATATCTCTGTGGAAGCCAGTTTCTTGATTCAAAACCAGATTTAGACTCACTAGCTGGACTTAGAAATAGGACAGTCAAGTTTTACTTCAAGAGAGCATAAAAGTTAGTAGATATGCAGCATTATACTTAGCCTCTTTAACTTTCCTTTTCTTATTTGTTATCTGATTTTTATCAGTTTATGCTAGCTAGAAATGTGCCCCTCTAAACCTCTGCATACCCTTCTCAGCGCTCTGCAGTTACTCACATTTAGACCATGTTTGGACCTATGCATAGAACTTGAAGTGCAGCCAAATTAGGAACAGTTCTTTAAAGTTACAGGTGAGATGCAGATGGAGCTAATATAGCTAACAGGTTGTATTAGCTTATGGACTTCTCTCAGCATTGCCAGACAGCATGCCAAATGCTACAGTTTGCCTTATGGCTTCTCAGTGTTTGGGGTTTGTTTCTTCATTATTTCAATTTTTCTTCACAGTCTTGAAGACAAGAACCTTATTTCTAAGAAAAAAAAAAAATCACAGCAAAAAAAGCTCAAAGAAAACAAACAAAAACCCCACTAAAGATATAGCAATGGACGCTTGGATTCTCATATAGTCATTTGACTACAGTAACTGCAAAAAAGGAACAGTGCAAGGTGTTTCAAGACCCCACAGAATCACCAGGGTGACCAGCACCCCTCATTTGTATTTCAAAATTGCTCTAAAATTCAGTGGTTTGTTGTTTTCATTATTTGGTTATCCAACTGGAGTCTAAGACTTTGTACCCCTGACACTGTCATCCTTTTATTTTTTTCATTTGGTTATTAAGCTGTAGTGACTTAACTCATCACTACAGATAGTTATTTGCATTGAAAGTCTGAGAATGTCCAACTGTTTAATTGTAGCCTGCTCCCTGAGCACCAGATGTTTCATTGCTCCACAGCCATCTGGAACTTGATCTGCTGTGACATTACCTCTATTGTCTCAGAGTGCCCCAAAAGTAATCCAGTCATCTTGTTTGAGCAGTTGATTTGTTCGAAGTCATAATACCACATTTGAGAACAGAATAGCACAGCTTTGAATGACAGAAGCTATAACTGTGTTGATCTAGTCTGACCTTCCACAGGAGACAGAGCAGAAAATATCACCTACCTCTGTTTCATTTTGTACTTTGTGGAATTACTTCTCCTGCTGTTGAAGTGGACTGTACTTTACTCTTTTCAGAACAGCTGACCACTGGAACTCCAGTGAGGAAAATGTCATATCTTGGCTGTTGCAAATGCTGAAATACATCTTAATGGAAATGAATATTGTTACTCTTCATTCACAAATCAAAGCAGCAAACTTGTCTTTCATAAAACAAGACTGATGTCTATTCGGTGATAGACCTGAATGCTAGTTAGTAAGAAGATAAGTATTAATCCTTCTAAAAAATTCTGTCTGTGAAGCAGAAGTGCTGGGACAGATTCTCAGCAACTGCAAATGGATGCAAGTCAACTTACTTTAGTGCTCCTGAGTAGCTTTACACCAGCAGAGGTGTGGGCAAGCCAGTGTCTTTTGTAACTCCACTCTTTTGAAACATAGCGCTCTTTCAGTTCTACCAGAACTGTCTGAAGGAATGTCTGCTGCCCACAAACCATGTGAAGTCCATTGCATGCTCTGGTCCTATTTTGTCATTCAATTTTGACACTGATTTGTGTTTGCAGGTGTGAAAGCTGTGGTGCTGTCTTCCACTCTGAGTGCAAAGTGAAGGCTGTACCATGCCCCAGGTGTGTGCGTAAAGAATTGCAGAAGAAGCAGAAATCCTTCTGGAGGCAACTGAATATGGATGAAAACTTCGAGGAGTCTTGCAACATGTTTGAGTTGTCATATCAGAACACATGAGTTCTTTAAAGAAGTGGCCAGCCTGAAGTGAATCCCTTTCCCAGCTGCCAGCTCAAGCCAGGCAGAAGTCTTTTGCAAAATACTATCTGACCTTTTTCATCTGTGAATAGCAGCTGCCAAAGTGGCCATAAAGCCTTGTTGGCTTTGAAATACCAATGGCTAAACTGCATTTTGCGTTGAAGTCCAGCCACTAGCTCTCATACAAAATGTGGTTTACTTGAAATGCTTTAGGTCTAGCTAATTAAGCACCCAACTTTTTCTTTTCCACCTCTGGAGAAGACTTTTCCTCAAGGCAGAAAGTATTTTCTGCCATGACCACATTATTTTTTATGTTGTTCATTTAGAATTGATGAATCATCTACTTATTTATGTGTATTATTTATTTATTACTAGCCTTGGCAGAGGTTCTGGTGAGGTGTTTCACAGAATCCAATAGGCCAGGAATGATTTTAAACCCACCTGCTCCTTCTGATGTGGACACGTGGTTCCATTTCCTCTGTTTCCAGAGAGCTATATTTAAAGGATCAGTGCATTTACATATCACTCTGAGGAAAGAAAAGTATCTCCCATCAAACCTTATTTGGGGTGCTTACAAACAGAAGACGCAGAATAATTCCTTCAGCTGTGTTTATAGATTTATAACCACCCCAGTGAACTATTCCATACACAGATAAGCAGGGGACTTGCTACTGTTCTTGTTCAGGCTGCGTATATTGGTTAAGCTCTGTCACTGAAGTCCATTAAGTTTTGCGCTGGTTATTTTTGCTCTGTGTGAGGCCACATCTTCATCTCCGGTAACGTGGTGTTGGTTTTTACGTCCTACTAGTCTCACGTTTTAAGGCATTTTACATGTTCACATTGGTTTTGGTTTTATTTTGTGAAGTTTGCTTCAAATGTCTCTCTAACCTGAAGCTGTTCGACCAATAGTAAGGAAAGTGGTCTTGCCCATGTTAGTTAGAAAGTACCTCCAAAACTGTGAAACACTTGTTTGCTGTGTTCATGTCCTGCGTTCTCTGCAAGCTCTAAGGGCTTTTATACTTCTGTAGTGGTGGAGAGCGAAGTTCCTTGAGGTATGGTTCTGCGCCACACACCTGGAACACAGGGAAACGTTAAACATGGTGAATTACGTACATTGTGAAAGGGGGGTACGTGATGGATTTAACTGCAGAGGTGTTATGTCATCACTAGCAGTATGTTTAATTCGTTGTGGCTTCACCTCCTGTGAGCACTTAGGGATTGTCCTCCCTCCAGTCCACATTCTTAACTCTTTCTCCAGACCCTGCAGCAATATGTGTATTGCATACATATGAAAGCATACACACACACACACACACACACACACACACATATATCTGTATAATGGTTTCAGGAGAAAAAAGCCAGTCACATGCATGTGTATTTTTCCTCTCCTCTCACGTAGGTTTGTGAAAATGCAGAATACTGATCTTTGCTTCCTATATAATCTGTAGGCTGTTGTATTCAAGGCAGAAAACAGTCTTGATCATTGAAGCACCTCACTAATTGCTAAAGTATTTTAAATAAAAGAACAGGGTAAATCATGCTTACATTAAAAGGTAGAATGCTACAACAAATTTCCTTTTACTGGAGTATAAGAGGCTTTTCCAGCCTCCAGTCAAAGAAAGTAGCTGAATCTGAGCTTTCTCAAATTTGAATGCAACTCTATATATATATATAAGCATGTTTATATCTGTATACATTAGACAACCAGTGCCTTTCTTTTCCAAAGTCCTTCTCTCAGTGGGATTCTTTGGAAGGAAGTGAGGGTTTTTCCGTGTTCTTGGCAAAGTAGTATAGGGTTCCTCATATTTAATAAACCTGGTGAATCATGCACCTTTGTCACTGAAATTAATACTTCAACTCACTGTTCCTCATGTGAAATGAGTTGCTTTTGGCTATCATCCTTAACGATACAATGTTCCTTGCAAGTCCATTCCCATGTGAAGAATTCCCTGCATGTTCACAAATGCAAACACTGGGTATGTATTGTGGAATTAGTCATGCAAACAGGAACTGCAGTGGTACTGGCTGAATAAACAGTACGCTCCCATGTTTTTCAGCATGTGTCACTACAGCTAGTCTTGTGGCAAAGCCAGTAGCTCTGAAAGCATCAGAATCTGGCAGGTACTATTTTGAATTAGTTCTAGACATAATGGTGGGTCATTAAAAAAAAGCAATATTTTTCATATCATTATGCTTCGGTATTTGAGATACCTTATAGCACTGATTCGTGTCCAGTTCGGTTTAGAGAAGGGTGCTTGTGTACACTGTCAAAAACCTATGGAGTCAAGGAGTCAAGGTTCAGACATTGCAAACTGTTAGTTACTTTGATAGATGCCCTGATCTCCAAAGTACTGGTTGAGCGGGTGGTTAGATATTCTAGTTGAATTCTGGAATAACAGCATAGGCAGCATTGGAGTTACTCTGGGTTTGTACAGGTGTTACAGAGCAGTTTCTTTGCTAACAGAGGTTTACAGAAAAAAAAGTGTATGATGTCAGCAAAACTGCTGGAATTAGTCATGGGTCTGGAACCACCACTGTTAGGGCAAAGAGCAAAAGTGTGTTCTTATGATATGCTGGCAGCACCCAAAGCTTTATGTAAAAGGATACTGTACAATACGGACCAGATTCATTTCTTTAAAATGTAATGTTGTTGTAAACAAGCCAGTTCCTAAAATGGATACACATTCACTGATTTCTACTTTGAAAAAGGAAGATAGCTTCTCATGGTTGCTAGAAGAGCAGACTTTAGTGTGGAAGATGCTTTCCTCTCAGGGATGCCTAGCTCCTATCCAAAAAAAGTTATTCCGTATGAATGGGTAAGGTAAAGTCTTCTGTCACTGCTTTTTGTAAGCATAATGAAAGGCTTGATCCTGCCCTCTGAAGGTGCCCGTGCAGTAGAAACAAGCCCTGTTCATTTTCTGGAGTGCATGGCAAAAGAATAAACTGAAACTACTCACATTACTAACTCTCAAAAAGACCCAACTCTAAAAGGAAAGTTTTCCTGCAATAGCCATCTGCTAGCAGGAGATTCAGCCTGGGGTTCTATAGGTGGTTTGGGTTTCAGACAACTCTGTACCCTTGCATGGTTGTCTCTGCTCGTAGTGCTGCATACTTGTCCCCACTGCTACTCTTTTCCCATTCTGCAGCCTGTAGCCTGCACGTGGCTCAGCTCTGTGGGCTTCTGGGTGGGCATCAGCTGGAAAAGTACCTGCGGTCTTTCCAGATTGCACAACTCTGTCCCCACACACACGAGGTGAAATTATCTATTAGTACTTCTAGACTTGTCCTACCCATGCATGATATAAATTTGAACAGTAGCATTTCATTGTGAATCAAGAATAAAATGTGCTGTTTGTCTCCTACACAGAGAAGGTGCTTTCATAGCTGACGGAGGAGGAATTGATCTGTACATCCAGTTACTGCTTTTGCTTGTACAGAACTTGTAATTGGTGTAGAAATAGGGCCCTTCGCTGCAATGGACTATAGCTGGACCCTATATAACTACTTAGAAACTTCCCATCTCCATTTAGTTAGTCTAAGATTATTTTAATCTAGGACATTGTAGAGATCCTTATGCGAGTCTTTTTTCCTCTTTACCCTGACTCTCTAGCTTTCCTTTAATGGGAAGAAGGACCCACCTAAGGGTATGCAAGCTGCAGCTTTTTTTATCAACCTATAAAAAGAGAAAATTGGATCTGTTATGTAGAAATCTTTCTATTGCTTTTTTTTTTGTCTGTCTTGGATGATGAAAAATGATGGGTTTGTGATGTGACACAATATCATGTCTGACACATACCAATATGAGCTCATTGCTGGGATGATAGGAATTGGCAGTTGTGAGGATTTCCTAGATAAGTGACAGAAGATACTTTTTGGTGAGGAACTTGAGTTTTTCACAATACTCCACAGGCTCTGATGGCCCTGTTAGGAGTTAATGATCAGGGTACCTCTAGAGCTACTCTTGTCAAGGCTTCTCTTAATATCAGGATACTGTATGTATTATAATGGACTGATGATGATGATGTCCCGAAAGGCAAAAAAAGAAGCAGAGGATGTCTGTTTACTGTGAAAGGGGGAAGCTGCACAGTTGTATTTTGCTTTTTCCTTGTAACAACAGAAGCCACCAAGTTTCCCAGGCTTCCCAAGGACATGGCCTGGATTGCAGCCAACTGTTGATACGGATAAAAGAAATGTAATCGAATAATTGTCATAATCTTCTCACTTTTTTTTTTTTTGCTGCTCAGCTGCAAGCCAGTCCCTCCTCTCACTGTCTCTATCCCTGTCTTTGCTCACAGTGCTGAGCCTACAGCTAGACTTTGAGCTTCATAGCTCATTGTGTTGCTTTTGAACCAGTCGAGTCTCATCATTCTCTCCTTCGTAATTTGCCTTCCAATTTTCCCTTCCCAGTAGGAGTGCCTTACAGTACTGTATATTAGTGTCTATCTTACTGTTTTGGATTTCTTGATTGAATCTGCTGTTCGATTAACTTGTAAGCTTAAACTGGAACTCTCCTGTGGCTGTGCATGCTCTTTTGCAGGGACAGCTGAGTAAATCAGTTTCCTTGTTCTGCCCTCATGAAGTGAACTCTATAGGCTGCATATACCAGCTCTGAAGACACCAAGCTGCATGGAAACCCCTCATTTTTGCTCAGTTTGGTGCCTTCAATTTTCAAAAGTGAAGAATTGTGTCAGAAATGCTCTGCCATGATGCAGCGTGTTTGGCATTGGGGCTCAAAACCCTTGCTCATGGCAATTTCCATCTTGCTAGGAGTGGTGACTATAAAATTTGTTTATTATCTATGCTATCTATGCTTTTGAAAATATGAAAAATGATATCATGGAGATGGCGTTGTTTTTTATTACGTATATTTTGGAGACTAGCTGGGCTTCTGTTCAGCCAGAAATGCAGTTGTGCTTATGTGAGACCTTCAGGTGCTGTGCCTATATAATGATGGCAAGAACTGGGCATTAAAACAGGATCAGGTCACATGCAACTTTGCTCTTCCTGGAACCACTGGCCAGTCCACGCCACATGTTGAGGGACTCCCATACGGTGCTCCCTACCCGCATGCACAGCTGGGCCCCGTGCTGTGGGAGTGAAGGCATTTCCTTAAAGCTTAATTTTAATGCAGCCCGGTTCCCTGAAGGCTAACCCAGTGAGGGCTTGGTCAGCATTACCTTAGAGAGAGGGTTAACCTGCTTAAATTTTAGCATTAATTGTTAAAGTACATGGCTGACTCCTTCAGCATGTGTCAGCCCTGGACACATGTCCATACTGACTGTAATCTTTTAAGTCCACGTTTGACATCAGTAGCAAGAATCCCATTTGACAACGGCAGTGCTGTTGCTGCATTTTAGCAGCGTAGTGAGGAGGCAGCGTGGGTGATAATGTGCAAAGTACTTCTTTACTTGAAAACCCTGGTGTGCACACACTGGCTTGGGTCATATCTTAAAATCCTGGTTTCATCCGAATTCCTTAGGGTAGCTGTTAATTCAGATCACAAAGATGCCACTTGTGGGCAGCATCAGAGAAATCCAGGCCTGGAAAGCTATCAGCTGTCTAGGACCAAAGTGTATTAGGCCTCATCTACGTGCACAAGTGTCAGTGGCTCATTTATTTATTTGTGTCTAATCCACATGTTAAACCAATATAAATTCTTGAATACACAGCGTTGTTTTGGTGGAAAAAGGATTTGTTTCAATTTTGCTTATGTACTTGTCTGCAAAGTCAATCTTGCTTAAACTAAAGTGTGCTTTCAGACTGATTTTTGATGGCATTTATACCTGTGATATCAGGTTAGCTTATATGAGTCCCTTCTATACTTGGACTAAGCAAAAGTAAGAATTAATGAGAAAAATGTGTGTTTAAAGGGTTTTAAGTGATAAAGGCAGCTTCCAAATCAACTTGAGTTTGGTCAAGGCAGTTAGAAGCTGGGGGAAGCCAAGCGTGAGCAGCAGAGTGTGGTGGTTAATACTGTCCCTGTCAGCCTGAGCTTTCCTTCCCACCGGAGCATGAGCTCACCTGCAGCCCTTGCAATGGATTTTAGCATCACCGGCAGCACACCCTGAGTTTTTGGAAAAAGCATTACATGTGTGTGTTATTCTGTTAACTTACTGGTAACATCATTGTGTGCATTTCATTGTTCTTGTGTTTACATTGCATTTTTTTTACTTTTGACAAGGATTTTTTAAATTATCTGCAACTACTAGGCAATAGTCTTAATTTATTATTGATGTGTAATAATGTTATAATTTATATTCAGTGAGTTGAACTGCTTGTTGACACTTGAGCAGGGTTTATTTGGGTTCACTTGTGATAGCATCAGAGCACCAGTCCCTCATGTATAAAGGCAACTCTCAATAAACACTAAAAAAAAGTTACTCGTCCTTTTTAATTTGTGTTCTGCTGGGTACTGCACCATGGGTAGGACAAGCTTTGAAATAGTGGTAGTTTCCTTAAAAATGCTTACCTGCTGGTGAAAGTCTTCCAAATTGAAGCAAATAGTGATATTTACTGTTCCTGGGTCTGAGCCAGGAGGTCTCTGAAAATACTGTCAGTGACTGCATCAGGCTTTGTGGGTTTGGATCCCCAGTTAAATCTCTTGGTTTTTTGAAAGCCAAATACCTGAATTTTTAATGGTGCTGACACCCAATAGCTCCCTGGGGAGTTTAGTGGGAGCTGTTGCTGTCAGGCTCCTTTGGATATGGAGCTCCTGGGATGCGTGTGGGAGGAAGAGGGAGGCAGCTCCCCACTGTATGGCTGTCACATGGACCCACCCCTGCTAGAAGAGTCCAAGCTCAGGGCCTTGAATCCTCAGTAAGGGAGGCATCTCCCAGCTGGACTGAAGGGCTGGAAGGGCAGGATTTTGCCACCTTGTAAGGGCTCTCCAATGGATGTAGGAGCAGGCATGATTCCTGCTCTTCTGGGCAACTTCTTCCAGTGCATCAGCTGAGGACCTTCTGCAGCAACCTGGAGCTGTGGGTCTGGTGACTGTAAGGTTGCAGTGCTGAGCCATGGTGGAGCTCATGGGCCTAAACCCCTGCCGCCTGAGGGCCTCCAGAGAAATGCATACCTAGCTCTGTGCTCTCATGGCCTTAAAACAGAAGGATACATTCCCTCCCTCACTGTCCTCCTGCCCCTCCTCAGAAAGACCAGAAGTCTACCAGGAATGTCAATCCTCTTTTCTACAGGAACCTTTGGACTTCATCCCTGTGATGAAATCAGCTATGAGCAAGGAGTTAATGTTTGACTGGGACCACACAAGCTGCACAAAAAAACCCATGTGCAAGACCTTCTCTTCCTCCTTATTTGCTTTACAAGGTAAGCGAATTCCGTTATGACATCTCCTTCCCCTTTCACTGCCACCTCCCTGCCTCACTTTGTAAGAGATGGTAGGGAAAAAGCATCAACAGGGAACAGAGATGGTGTGGTCTAGGGAGCCCTGGGAGGAGCACTTTGGTTGGGTTTTCTTCTGTCCTTCTGTGGCTGTATTTACACAGCTTCTTCTCTCCTCCTTGCCCCTTCCCAGTCTCTGTGCTACGCCCTGTTACAGTGTATGAACCGTCACTGAAATGAGCTGCTAAAAGGACATACTTCAATATCTGTCACTGGAAATTTGGGGCTGGAGTTTCAACAATTCTTTTGGTTTCAGTCAGGAGCTAATGTGAGGGGATTTTTGTCCCTGATGTACATTGTCGTTAGGTGAAAGCTGTGCCCTCCAGTGAAGTGTAACTGCCAATAAAACCTTACATTGACAGCCCTGTTCTTAACTGCTGCACGCCCCACACACACACACACAGCGCCATGCTTTCTGGGTTGTTCTACTGTTTGTGTTAGTTTATCAGCTGGCCTTTAACACAGCGGGCCACAGAAAATACGAGTCAGACTGTGAGTTACAGTGTTCCCTCCAAGTGCCTTGGGAACCAGTAGCCAAGTGGTGTTTGTTTCTGATGCTGAGCAAGAGGGACAGACTGGCACCCACCGAGTATCCACCCACCTTGTTCTCTTCATGGCTGACACTCCTCATGCTGGTGGAACAAGTCAGTGTTTTATAACTATATAAATTTATGTGTTTGGGAATATTAGATCATGGGCAAATCTTACAACCCCTTAGGTCCAACAGCCAGTCTTGGATTTTGCACTTTCATGTCCTTGTTACATGTTAAACGCTTTACAATAGGTTGAGCCAGGAAGGTTGATCATCTCCTCTGGCCAAGTCCCATGAGTGGTATTATGGTTCATATCACCTGAGCATGCCAAGCCAAGTTCCAGCTCTTCTCCTAAAGGTCAGGACAGTTCATTTATAAAAAGTTGCCCTTCTAGCTCTTAGACCAAAATTAACAATATTTGGTTTAATGCAGGAAGTTGACTGGTTTTCTAAAAGGTGGCAGAACTGGAATGCAGCTCTTCTGGGAATAAGTGACGTAAGAGTCCACAAGTTTATGAAGTCCTGAGGACACTGTCTAAAATAAATGAAATGGCACAAGCTCCTTGTTCAGAACTGTGCTCCAGGCTCAAGGAAACATTTTTTTTTCTTTCAACTTTTCTACAATGTATGATACAATCCCAATTACAATACAGTAATAGATTAGCCCAAATGGAGCTAGCTTCCTCCTCCTTTCCTTAGGGACAGAGAGGGACATTCTGTGTCTGAGGTTTACCATACCTTTTCAGTGAAAGGCATGATGAGGGCAAACGAAAATATTCTGGGAGTGTGTGTACATAGCTCTGGACTGTCTTTTTAAAATAGCTCTTGTTTAACTAAATACTCTGCAAAATAGTGGTCCCATCTAGAGGCCTGAGTATTACTGCTATGAGAAGGTGGTGAAAAGCATCTCAGATAATCAGGTGTCACAAGTAAAACCAGACAAAGTCTCCAAGGCAAGCAGGAGTAAATGCCAACCATTTTAAGCATAGACAAATATAAATCTTGGCATTGAGGCTGTAAACATGCTAAAAAGTCAGTTCGCAGTTTATAGTAAGTGACTTCTGATTTTCTATAATTGAATTTGAGGCATTAGCCTCAGATATTAA